AACAGCAGATCCAAAAGACAGACTGCCATCTTGTGACCTTGAGAAGCCAAGCAGGAGACTGACAGCCTCATCCCAGGACGGCAGAGCTGCCAGATGACAGTGGTGGGCTTTTTCAACCCTGGACACACAAGACAGTTAAGCCCTCAACTAGTTAAACTACTGGAGTAAAGTTTTCAGTTATTCGTAACACAAATCCTAACTGATAACCACCAACCTGAAATAACACTGCTGACATGATCATGTTTTTCCTTCTGTCCTTTTCTCTATTGAGGTATAATTTTTACATACAAGACAAAGTATCATACCTGAAATTATTTTATTTTTTAGTGGTTGTTTATTGTCTGTCTCCCCCCTATAGACGATAAGCCCCACAAGAAGGATAATGTAATCTCATTATGATTTTATTCCCTGTATCCAGAACAATGTCTGGCATGTCTAGATGTTCAATAAATGTTAGTTAAATCAATGCATTAATTAATGAGTGAATGAACATTTTAATATGAGCCCTTCCCCTGGCCATGAAATTGTTTTCTGAAACCTTGAATTTTTTGCTGAATACAGCTCTCTCCCATGCATCTATCATACTTTACTTAACCAGTCATTTGCTGGTGGACATTTTTTAACGCTACTGTAAAAATACTCTTACATGCATTCCAGGCCTTATGCAATTATTTTTTACGATAAATGCCTAAAAAGGTTATGCATAATTTAAATCTCTTAGTACATATTTCCAAAATTGCCTTCCAAAGCAGTTTTTAAAACCAATTAACATTTCTACGAGAAATTTATGACAGTGTTTCTCTACACCTCCACCAACATTAGGCATTATTCATTTCTAATGTTTTTTCATTTTGGTACATGAACAGTTATGTCTCAAAGTTGTTTTAATATGCATTCCTGATCACTGGGGTCACAGATTGTTCTTTCACCAGCTTGAGGCTTTTTGGCAGGTTTTTTCAGGCCCCAGGCTCCTGTGGGGGGATGCAGGGGCGGGGTGGAGGGGTGGCCTTGAAGCCTGCATCTGCCGTCATCTACTGGAGGTATGTGAACACAGACGGTGAAGGTGGGTTCCCCTTGGCCAGTGTTCAAGGCCTTCCAGGAATTGTGGGGGAGGAAAGCCAAAGGCTAGATCCCTGAGATTCCAGGACTGGAATCGTGGAGCTGGGGCCTTTCTTTACTGGAAGCTGGGCCACTCCCCTGGTCCCCTGCTAAGGGCCACGGTGAGAAAGACACGTGTTCTGGTGTGAGACCCAGAGCCTGATGGTGGGAACTTGGGAAGCCACAGGTGGGGACAGGACTGCGCTTGGGGGCTGGCAAGGGCCAAGGTAAGCTGATGCTAGGCCTAGAGAGACCTAGAAGGCTGTTAAGGACTTCTGAGAAGCCTAAGCAGAGTTAGAAGAAGGAGAAAGGGGTAGGTATTCCAGGAAGCATAAGCAAAGGCACCAACCAGGTTCAAGAATGAGGTGTGCTCATGCCCAGATCAGCCCTGTCTTCAGGACCACATAGCTAGCCACAGCCTGGAGCAGACACACCCCCGTGCATATCCTCATGGCCACAATCTCCCTCAGTTGCTCACAAGCCCAGAAAAGCGCCAGGCCACAGCCCAGGCCAGCCTACTCCCTAAGGAAGGCTATCATGGAGGTTGTTAAAACATCTCCTGCCCCTCACCCTGCAACCCTGCAACCCAGCACTGTTACCCCATTTCACAGATGTGGAGATTGTGCACCAACTGAAGAACGTTGTCTAGTACCTACAGGCTGCACAGGGATAGAGAAAGAGCCACAAGTGCCCCGAGGGTTGGGAGCCTCCTGAAGGAGGAGCCCCGGGCCAGGCAGAGAGAGGGCCACCTCCCTGCTCCCGTGCCCACCATGCCAGACCAGAGGGGATGGACCCAGGGACTCAGCGCCAAGCTTCCCAGGCTGGACCTACTGTCCTGAACGGGGGCAGCCATGGTGCAATGCTGCCCCCTGCCGGCGGCCAGGGAACAGGCCCAGCTGCAACTGCGATGAGGCCCCCAGGAGACAGGACCTGGCTCTGGGCTACACGGTTGCCTTGACCTGAGTGGGGACTGTTGGGGAAGCTGTGCTGGGCGGTAGCGAAGTCAGAAGCCAGAGAGATTCAGATCTCAGTGAAAATAACAATAACGGCCATCATTTACTATGAGCCAGGTACTGCTCTAATGCTTTACATACATTGTTAACTCATTTACTCCTAACTCACTTCTTAATAGGGGAGGCACACTAATTATCCCCATTTTACAGAGGAGGAAACTGAGGTACTAGAAGGTTATGTAACTTGCTCAGCTAGGAAGTGGCAGAGTGCCCCAACAAGGTCTCACTCTGCAATTTCTAGAGGCTAACCCACATGTCTCAGCCACAGCTGCAGAAGAGCAGACAGGTGTCCTGTAACCCCAATTATGAACCATTCTTTCCTTGGGCCACATGGAAGGACTGAGGCCCTGGATTTCACATGGGCCTGGGACTTCTCTGAGCCTTCCCACGGAGTTCAAGAGGCTGGAATCTCAGAAGACTCCAGAATTTAAGGGAATGACCCGAGTCATCCTTGTCCTAGGTCACCCAAGATCCAGATGGAGAAGAGCCCTGTGGGCCTTTGTGAAGAACACCTGTGTGCAGTGTCTGTCCTCCCAGCCACAGACAGCTCTGGCCCTCCTGTTCTCACCCTGATTACTGCAAAAGTTTCAAGCTCAGTCCTCTCCCAACCATATGTCAAATTATGACATCCTGCTTAACACCCTTTACTACAACTCAACAACAACAAAACAAACAACTGGATTTAAAAACGGGCAAAGGATTTAAACAGGGATTTCTTCAAAGAAGGTATACAAATGCCCAGTAAAGATGTAAATAGATGCTCAGTGACTTTAGTTATTAGGGATATGCAAACCAAAATCATAATGAGGTACAACCTCACACCTACGAGGATCAAAATATTATTAAAAAAAAAAGTCTTGGCGAGGATGTGAAGAAATTGGAACTTTTTTTTTTTTTTTTTTTGCAGTACACGGGCCTCTCACTGTTGTGGCCTCTCCCGTTGCGGAGCACAGGCTCCGGACGCGCAGGCTCAGCAGCCATGGCTCATGGGCCCAGCCGGTCCGCGGGATGCGGTATCCTCCCAGACCGGGGCACGAGCCGGTGTCCCCTGCATCGGCAGGCGGACTCTCAACCACTGCGCCACCAGGGAAGCCCAAGAAATTGGAACTTCTGTGTACTATTGGTGGGAACGTAAAATGGTACAGCCACTATGGAAAACAGTATAGCATATTCTCAAAAAATTAAAAATAGTATTGCCACACATGCAAAAATTAATTCTCTAACCCGTATGGTAATGGGTGTTAACTAGATTTACTGTTGTGATCATCTCGTAATATACACAAATATTAAACCATTATGTTGTACACCTGAAACTAATATAATGTTACCGGTCAATTCTACCTCAATTTACAAAAAAACTAGCAATATATGGACTAAAAAAATTACATATGGTCTAGCAATTCTGCTTCTGGGTATATACCCAAAATAATTGAAAGCAGGATCTTAAAGAGATATTAGTATAGGCATCTTCACAGCATTCGTTATAGCCAAAAGGTGGAAGCTACCCAAGTGTCCATCAAAAGGTGAACAGATAAATAAAATGTGGTGTATACATACGATGGAATATGATTCAGCCTTATAAAGGAAGGAAATTCTGACACACGCTGCAACATGGATGAATCCTGAGGACATAAACTGTATGAATAAAACAGCCCCCAAAAGACAAACACTCTATGACTCCTCTCCTGTGAGGTCCCTAAAGTAGCTGGATTCATAGGAATGGAAGGTAGAATGGGGGTTGCCAGGGGCTGGGGGAGGGAGGATAGCTGCAGAGTTTCAGTTAGGGAAGATTTTTAAAGTTCTGGGTAAGGAATTCCCTGGTGGTCCAGTGGTTAAGACTCAGTACATTCACTGCTGTGGGCCCAGGTTCAATCCCTGGTCAGGGAACTAAGATCCTGCAAACTGTATGGTGCAGCCAAAAAAAAAAAAAAAAAAAAATGAAAAGTTGTGGGTAAATGTACAGTTCTGTGATGTCTGTTTTACTCAACATTTATTCAAAATTTAATTTTGTTTAACTTTTTTACTTTTAATCATACAAAATACTGTTTAACATAGATAAATATGAAACACATAATAGAATTATCTAAAGAGTATTTCAGTCTAGTATATATAGGTAACGTGGGTGTTACGAACTAAAAATCCTGCTAAGTTATATATTTCTTACCACTAATAAACATAATAGATACATCTTTTTTTCTGTCTTTATTTATTTTATTGGAGTATAGTTGATTTACAATGTTGTGTTAGTTTCACGTGTGCAGCAGTGATTCAGTTATACATATACATATATATCTTTTTCAGATTCTTTTCCATTATAGATTATTACAAGATATTGAGTCTAGTTCCCTGTGCTATAAGGTAGGTCCTTAGTTGATTAGCTATTTTATATATAGAAGTGTGTATAAGTTAACCCCAAACTCCTAATTTATCCCTCCCACTCCCCATCCCCTTTGGTAACCATAAGTTTTTTTTCTATGTTTGTGAGTAATAGCAACGTGTTTTTAAAGCTCTGGAGCTGGATGGTTGAACAACAGTGTGAGTATAATTAATACCATTAAATATACTCACTTAAAAACAGTTAAGATGGTAAATTTTACGTTATGTGTATTGTATCGCAATTAAAGATTAAAATTAATTAAATTAAACAAATCCTCTTCTGGCCCCTCTGACTGGTAAGCAAAGGTCAGACTCCTCCAGCTGCATTGAACATCCGCAGGACTGGCACCCAGTAACGACTCCTGCCCTGGGGACTACACCAACCCTCAGGGCTGCAGTACTGACAGAGTTAGTGGGAGGGGAGGTAGATAAGCCTCTGACAGCGTCCGCTTTAAGGGGAAGCCCCGCCCTGGCTCTGGCTTGCTTTCTCCTTCTCTATATTCCACTTCGAAAACCGGAAGGGAGAGGCTCTGGGAGCTCCGCAGGGCCTCTTCTCCTGAGGTCGCCATGGGGCGACAGAGACCTCTGGGCTCACCTGCAAGCTGGTGGTAGGAGTCTTCAGGCTAACCACCTGAGGTTGCCTGGGGTCCCAGCCTCCTGCCACTTCCCCTAGCAAGTACTGGGGCCCAACAGGCTAGACTGACAACTCCTGGGGACCAAGGCAAGCACCGTCGGGGAGGAACTGAGGGCCCAGGGAGGAGCAACCTCCAGCCTGTGAAGTAAAACTTGCATGGGGAGTCACCCAGGTAAAGAGCTCTGTGGGGTCCCAGCCTGGGGCTTTTGAAGGCTGGGGAGGAGTTTCTTGGAAGAAGAGACAGAGGCCAGTGTGGCTGGACTGAGCGGAACAGGCAAGGTGGGCTGCTGGCAGGAGGAGGGGCGTGAGGTCTGGCTGAGGACTGGGGCTTCTCCCCAAACAGCCGCTGAGAGATTTCCTGTTTGTTAACAGAGTGACAGAAACAGACTTGTCTTTAAAGATCCCTCTCTTGAATCAGAGGAAGTAGGAAATGGAAGCAAAGAACAGGAATTAGGGACAGTGTCAGCGGCGGCCTGGACTAGGGGAAGGGAGGGAGATGCAGAGAGGGGATAATGCATTTTGGAGTTGAGATCCAGGGACAGGGGATGAGCTGACTGCATGTGGGGGGTGAGGAGGAAAGAGGGAGCAGACAGAGCCCCAGGGTTCTGGTCTGAGCAGGTGGAGAGATGGAGCTGCCGATGCATGGACATGGGGGAGGGAGTGGGAAGAGAGTCCCAGAAGGCAGTTTGGGGCCAATTAACACTTAGACCCTTATAAGATTAGCTCAACTCTGATCTACTTTCCTAATGAAGTCACTGGGAGAAACTGCTTCCCAGGGGACTTTGAGCAAGGCTGAACATCTTACTCCAGGTGACTAAAAATTCTCTTGTTCCTAGTGAAGTGGACTGTTTATACTGGGGTTGGGCCTGGATATCATGTTCCAGCCAGCCTTAGTCTTGGGGAGAGGCATTCAAGGACAGGAACATAAAGGCAGCAGCAAATGAGATTGTCAAGTCTACCTGGTGATGGCAGCCCTTCGTCTGCCAGTCTGTCCCTGGACCACTAGGTGTCCACCCAGAGAAGCCAAGCCTGCCAAGCTGTGTGCCCCATGAAGGTGTCCGTCTCTCTGCTGCCAGCACTGTGGTGATGAGTGTGGACCGTGCAGCCAGACTGTCTGGGTCTGTCATCCCAGCTCCAGGTCCTGCTCCCTGTATGGCTTTGTGTCACAGTGTTACCACGGCCCAGGCCAAGGCTGGAACCCCTCTCCTCGGGTCTACTCTGGAAATTAGAAGCCGTTAAGACCTTAGGAAGTTCTTGCCCATCCCTCCCTACGTGGGGGCAGTATTCTGGCCTCCAGAGAGTGAGAACTGGCACATGCGCATGCACACACACACACACACACACACACATACACAGACGTGCACAGTGACATTAAACAAGGTCTTATGGGATCAGAAGAGGAACAGACATGGGGGAGGTAACAAGAGGAGGAAAAAGGGATTGGAGGCACAGCCTACATGTGACACCATTCGCACATTTTTGAGTTCCTTTCCCATCTATACCTGAGGACATCCCGAGAAGAACATGCTAGAATCATTCCCACAGTGCAGATGGGAGACAGATAGGACTTGAGAGACACAATGCCTTATCCAGGATGGAGAACAGGTACGAATGAGGAGACGAGTCTGGAGCCCAGGTCTGTCTCCTGAAAGCTGCCCACAGACCCCCACCCCCGGGGGCTGTGGAGAGGGCTGCGGGTGTGACTGTGTGAGATATGGGCTTGCATGGAGAAGAGGGTGAACAGTCCGCCACCCAGAGTGCTGTGTGGAGAGCTATTGTCTGAGGAGGGGACTCAAGGAAGGGGGCCCCCGGGAGTGAAGTCACTTCCTGGACCACAAACTCCAACAGAGCTCGGAAACCTTTAACCAGGCACCCACTTTCAAGTGACAGCCCCAGCTCATAGAGGAAGATGTTCTCCTGCTGTGGCCCCACTTCCCGGGGCTTCTGCTTCAGGGAACCCTGGAGTGAGAGGTTTTTCAGATGCTGTAGACGTTGGTTCAATCCTCAAAACCAACACCTCTGGTCATTTACCAGGAGGTCACCTAAGGTAACATAGGTGGCCTAGAGCAGGCCAGTCCAGGCGCGGCCACCTCTGGGAGCCCACCCTGAGCAGGTCCACATCCCTTCATCTCCATGTGGAGGAAGGGGGACTTGGTGGGAGGGTCCCCCCGGGCAGGAACTGGTTGGTGTACACTTGGTAACTTGGTGGTCCTGTCATGGTCACACCCGAGGACAGGGCTGGCGTGGGGGAAGGAGGATTCCTGAGGTGCCAACGTGAATCCAAGGCCCTCAGCTTGTCAGCTTTTTCTCTGTCCTCGGTGGAGGTCTGTGCAGAGTGGTAGGCGTGTGTCTGGGGTGCAGATGTCTGGTGGGTCTGAGAACCAGCACAGACAGCTGGACAAGGCTCTGAGGCTTTCTGTCTGGCTGCTGGGCACTGATTTCTCAGGGCCCCACATGGGAGATCGGACAGCAGCCGGTCCACGGAGCCCCCTGTTCCGTCTCCCTGCAGGAGGGGCAGGTGCCCCACACCAGCAACAGAGCCCAGGGCAGGCTCAGGGTGAGTGCCAGAGAGGAGACTCCACACCCAGGAAGCTCCGAGTCCCAGAGCCACCCTGGTCCTGCCCTGGGCTCCCTCCTAGAGCCCTGCTCCCAGAGGAATCTAGACCCCATCTCCTCTCCCACCTGCCCTACTGCCCAGTCCCTGCTTTGTCCACATATTTGTAGGAACCTCAGAAAGACTGATAGCATCTACTTCATGTTAAGTCAAGGGTGTTTCTGCCTTTTTCTACAGATTCTCCTGTTTTAACTCCATCCCCAGGTGTCCCTGTTTGCCTGACACTCCTGATCCCTCCCACTCTGGGATCAGCCTCTGTGTTCTCATCCCTAGAATGGCATATTTTTATAACAATCACAGGGATGATGCAGTTAATACAGGAAGGAGCTCTCAGTACTGTGCTACAAACTGCTCCGAGATCCTAATACATTTAATCATTGCCCGCGGCCAATTCTACTGGTGACTCCAGAACCTTTATTCTGCTGGGGGCACTCCTGCCCCATCTTCTGCCACAAGTCCCTGAGGCTTGGGGATGTGGTCTCAGCTCCAGCCTCAGCCCTCCTGGTGGTCCATGGTGCTTCCTCTGACTCGTGTCTCTGCTCCGTTCCACCCCAGGGGAAAATGTGTCCACAGGGGACAGGAATGGGACTCTCATGGTGTGGAGTGTCCAGGCAGGCAGGCTGGAGAAGCTGGTGGGCAACCTGGTGCCTGCCTTCCTTGACAGCGACCCCTCCGACCTCCCTGCCTTTCTGGGCACCTACAGAGCCCTTGCAACTACCCAGCAGGTGCTGGACCTCCTGCCCCTCCTGGGACATTGGTGACTCGGCCACCTACTAGCTGTGAGATGTGGGAATGTCACTACACCTCTCTGAGCCTCATTTGCCCCTCTGCACGCTAGAGTAAAGAGAGGACCAGCCCCCTAGGGTGACTGTAGGGTCTAAGTGGGTCCTTCATGGAAAGTCCTTTCTGGGGACCTGGCCCCATGGGAAGGTCTGCCAGAAGGGCTGTGGCTGTGCTACACTGTCATTGCTCTGCTCCCTCGTGGGAGGGAGCAGATGCTCTGCCTCATCTGCCACTGTGCTGGTGGCCTTGGCGGAATTGTTTTCCCATTTGAATGTTGATGTGTGATTCAATCTGGAGTGAGAGCAGAGACTCCTGGGGGCGATCAGTGGGGCCCAGGACGCTCAGATATGTGTGACGGGGCTGACTGGGCTCATTCATTCTTCAAATATAGAGGAAGGCCCTCTGGGTGCAGGCAGTTTTCTAGGAACAACTATCATTTAATGCATCGAGCAGACAGCAGCCCTTCCCTCCAGAGCTTCCATTCTCCCTGGGGCCACACTGTCACACTGGCCATCACATCCAGGTGTCAGCACAGTCCATGTGACGCCTTCCTGGCCTCCTCTAGGTACCGATGCATCCTCCCTGACTCTGATGAGTACGGCGGATACCTGTACCAACTAAAAATGTGAGTGGGCTTTGATTCAAGAGGGAGGGACTCCATTCCCCAAAGAGCTGTGTAGAGATGTAGGGTCTGTGGATGGGCAGGAGCTGGCAGAACCCTGGATCCCACACATTGCAAGGTGGAAGGAAAGGCCAGGCCTCTGACGCTGCTGCCCGCCTGACTACTCCCAGGGCCGTGTCCTCCATCCTGGGCCTCTGGCTACACCATTCCCGTGAGGATTTTCACCAGGCCCCAGAATTTCCCTGCCTGAAGACGCTATTGGCTTACTTAGAGCTCAGCATGCCTGGCTCAGACCTAGAGCACCGTGCCCACCTCCTTCTGGCACAGCTGGAGCACCCGGAGCCCACTGAGGTAGAGAGTGATGGTGAGGAGGACTCAGGGTGGGTGATGGAAACCAGTGGGGAGGGGGAGTGGCCGGGCCACACAAAATAGAGGCTTCAGAGGCTAGAACTGGGCCAGGAGCAATGAGGAGGCTCAGATCACTATTCTCCTGGACTGAAGTCCTGGAAGACTTCCTGGGGGTGGCATGTTAGACTGAGACTTCATTGATTGGCCATGAGAAGTTTCTTGTCTTTGGAAAAGCGATCCTACTGATGATATTTTCTCTTCTTGGAGCTACAGCACAGGCTCCAAAACAAGCTCTGGAAACACCTTGAGACCCAGAGCCACCTACACCTCTGCTGCCCGCTACAGCTCCAGAGCCACAGCAAGCTCAAGCCACAGCTCTCATTTGAGTTCAAAGGCGAATATGCCAGCTCCAGTTCCACAACCAGGGTGTGCTTATGCCCTAGCTCTCATTCAATCTCAAAAGGGAGAAAAAGCATCTACACAGGCTCCAATTCCTGCTCCAGAGAAGGTTCCAGCAACAGCTCTCCTCCCATCTTCAGAGCCTGAATTGTCACAGAAACCTGTCCTAGTGCTTCCTCTACAACTTCAGCCAGTTTCCTCAACAGCCTCAGTCCAGAGCTGAAGCCACCTCAGTGAGGGCACTGCCCCTGGCTCTGGAGCCCATCGTGCTTTGGCACCAGCTGTGGCCCCGGAGTGTATCCAGCTCCAGTTCTGGATTAGAGACCACAGCAGACCCAGTTCTTCTCATTACTCAGGTGCTGGAGCCAGTTCCTCCCTTAAGATCCCTGGAGCTGCTGCCAGCTCAGCCACTAGCACAAGCACATGCAGAGCCTTCAGGGCCCAATTAGGAGCTGCCCCAGTGCCTACAGCAGCACTGGAGCCTTCCTTCCCCTCCCCTCTAATTCCATTTTCTTCAACATTTGGGGATTTTATTCCAGATACTAAATTGTTTATTCTATGATATAAAGTTCACTTAAAATTTAATTCTTTGATTATTTTAAATTGTACATGTAAGTGGCACTAAGTACATTCACAATGTTACATAACCCCCTCTAACGTCTATTCCAGAACATTTCATCAAAGGGAAATGCTGTATGTATTAGTCACTCCTCATTCCCCTCACCTTCAGTGCTGGGGCGCCCCAATATTCCTTATATCTCTGGATTTATCAATCCCTGATTTTTCGTATCAATAACATGTAACTTGTGGCCTGTTGTGTCCGGCCAAGTATGTATGAGTAGACTGATTAAAGTTTGATTCTGGGTTACATAAAAAATGTTAAAAATTTAAGGTGGCCACTGAGTTAAGAGGCATGACTTTGGACGTGTTTGATCCAGGGGAATTTCTGAGTGGAGCTTGTGTGAGGAGAAAGGGTTTTAACAAAATATAGCAGGTGCTCAAGGAAGCTTCAGGAAAGTCAGAGTCTCAGTCCAGGGAGCTCAGGACTGAGGACAGGCCCCACTCACCCCTCAGGCTCCTCCAGCAGTGATCCACCGCCCACCCCTGGTCCAGCCCCCAGGGCTGGCATCCCTCCCGTTCAGCTTCTGCACAGGAAGGGGCTCTGTCTTTTCCCCAAAACCACAAATGGGTGGGGGCATTATGGGCCACCTTGTCCATCAAAGTCAAGTCAGGGGCCCTGTTTGGGAAAAGCATCTTAGGAACTTGTTTGGAAACAAGCAATTTCTTTTTTAATTAATTAATTTATTTATTTATCTTTGCGTTGGGTCTTCGTTGTTGCGCACGGGCTTTCTCTAGTTGCAGCGAGCAGGGGCTACTCTTTGTTGCAGTGCACGGGCTTCTCATTGCAGTGGCTTCTCTTGTTGTGGAGCATAGGCTCTAGGTGCATGGGCTTCAGTAGTTGTGGCACACGGGCTCAGTAGTTGTGGCTCGCAGGCTTAGTTGCTCCGCGGCATGTGAGATCTTCCCGGACCAGGGCTCAAACCCCTGTCCCCTGCGTTGGCAGGTGGATTCTTAACCACTGTGCCACCAGGGAAGTCCACAGCGATTTTTAGAAGGTGGCTGCTCTAATCTACAGACCCTAGGCTTCAGCTGCAACGCTGAACGCTACTCACTTCAGACTGGCCCCCCTCACAATCCGAATTGGCTCTGGCCAATCTACCCTGTTACTCTATGTCCTGAATGCTGTGGGTTTTGTATACTGACAGACTCCTCGGTTTGTCTCAAGTTGGAAGTCAAGGAGAGATTCTGTTAGCAACCAAGGACCTGTGTTCAGTCCTGAATGGTGGGTTTTTTCTCCAATTCCAGGGCTTGTCCCAAAACTGTGCTCCTGAGTGTATAGTTATACCACCCCTTAGATTGTCTAATTGTTGAGTATATTGTACAGTGTTAAATACATCGCACCCTTAAAGCTGTCTTATCCATTTATCTTTCAAAAATCTGAACATATGGCCAGCATATACCTGAGCTCATTTTTGGTGAAATTTAAATGTCAGTAAAATAGTATACCCATTAAAAAAAAAAGTAAAGTCAGGGGGAGTCCCACGGTCTGAGTTATTGAGTGAGTCCATGGTCAGCGACCTCTCTTTTCTCTGCCCAGAGATGGAGCCCCCCTAAAGCAGAGAACAAAAGTCCTCACAGGGAGGAAATTCTAGGCTCTCCTTTGAGGAGGAAAGACTGAAGCCCCTGATTAAACTTGGAGTAGATGAAGCAGAGATCAGAGGACCAAAGGGAAGGGCTGCCTGGGCTGAGGCTCTACTATAATGGTTAGGAGCACAGGCTCTGTGTTGGTTTGCAGGAAGTGGCCGGGAATCATCCCATCAAAGTCTCCAAATTCACCTCCAGAGAACATCTCCACTAAAGAACCCAAAATATCACTTGGTCACCTGGAGTCTGTGGAAGCTTGAGCTGCTGTCTAGCTCGTGAGCAAGGAGAAGGGTTGAGGACGGGGTGTCCCACAGAGTTCAGGCTAGTGCAGGTTGTCTGCCTTAGCAAGGAAGGCCCACTATTATTGGATGCCCATATTTCCCTAATATAGCAGAAAAACCAGAATACCACAGGCACAGGCAAGAGGGAGATTTCTTCCTTTCTCATGAATGTAAACTGTTCATACTGACCCTCAACTGCACACCTTGGTAGCCAGCCCATCTTTTTCTGCCCCAGCATTTTTAGCTGGTGTCCAACCTCAAGGCTGCCTGTCTTTCGGTACAAAGTGGCTGCTGGAGCACCAGCCTTGACCAGCCACCAAGTCTTCATTTCTGAGGCAGGAGGGAGGAAAATGAAGAGCGAAAGGGCCAATCCAGCTGTGTCTGCTCTATCTAAAGAGCCTCCCACAAGTCCACATAATCCTTCTGCTCACTTCTAATCTGCCTGAAGTTCATCTGGCTGCTTTCAGCTGCAAGAGAGGTTAGGAACTCGACCATTGAGTTTGGCCAATTTCCGCCCTCAATTAGACTATTTTTCTCTTCTTAAGGAAAATATAATGAAAACCACACGGTGACGGCCAGGGCTTTTTCCCTACCATAAACACCAGGATGAAAGGGAAGGAGATGGAATGATTTTCAGATGAATTAGACATTCATTTCCCCACCATGGACTCTTTCCCTGGTGTCTTTTTATTCCCAGAGAAATTAGAAACATGGTTCCTTACCAGGATTTTTGAGTGGGAAAGATTCTCTCAATTCCTAGTCAGGTGATTGGATCCACTAAGTAGCTTCTTTCTGCCTGTATCTTGTAAGTAGCTCTGAGAACACCTTCTGTTCTCTAATGAGGTGGGCAGAATAGGAGGGTGGTGGAGGCTTTTGGGCAAGTGTTCCAAAGCTTGCATCAAAATTGAGTTGCTGGGACTTCCCTCATGGCACAGTGGTTAAGAATCTACCTGCCAATGCAGGGGACACAGGTTCAAGCCCCGGTCTGGGAAGATCCCACATACCATGGAGCAACTAAGCCCATGAGCCACAACTACTGAACCCATGAGCCACAACTACTGAACCTGTGTGTCACAACTACTGAAGCCTGCATGCCTAGAGCCCATGCTCCGTAACAAGAGAAGCCACTGCAATGAGAAGCCCATGCACCGCAATGAAGAGTAGCCCCTGCTCGCTGCAACTAGAGAAAAGCCCGCACACAGCAAAGAAGACCCAATGCAGCCAAAAATAAATAAATAATAATTTTTTTAAAAAACTGAATTGCTGTCTTCAAGGAATACACTGATTGGAAACAAGCCTTTTGACATTAAGGACACTTGCACTGGGACTTCCCTGGTGTCACAGTGTTAAGAATCCACCTGCCAATGCAGGGGACACAGGTTCCATCCCTGGTCCGGGAAGATCCCACATGCCATGGAACAACCAAGCCCGTGCACCACAACTACTGAGCCTGCTTTCTAGAGCCCACGGGCCACAAGTACTGAAGCCCACGAGCCACAACTACTGAAGCCTGTGCTCCTAGAGCCCGTGCTCCACAACAGGAGAAGCTACCGCTATGAGAGGCCTGCACATCACAACGAAGAGTGGCCCTCGCTCACTGCAACCAGAGAAAGCCATGCACAGCCAAAAATAAATAAATAAATTTATTTTTAAAAAAGACTTGCACTATCATGGAGAGTATTAATAGTAAAAATAATACACACCATATAAAACTCCATGTGGTCAAATGTATTATTGATTTAAGATTGATGGAAGAAAAAGATCATTTTGAAGTTTTTTGATATCAATATTTGACTCAGATCAGTTGACCAAGTACAAATAATAATCACTAAAGAAATCTTACAACGAGAGCATTTATAGTCAGTCATTAAGATGTGATGTGAACAAAAAACCTGTCGTTTATTTTTTTTAAAATTGATCCCAACTAAAACACTTTTAGTTAATTGAAAATAAACATAGATAAACTATAAATAATTGACTGTGCTGTATTCTCAAAACAGGATCAAAACAATTAAAATGTCTGTTTGAAATTTTCCCTGTAAAATACATTTTCAATGCTGTTTTTCAAATACTGTTATAATTCTGATTGCAACATTTATTAAGGTCAGAATAAAAAATTCTGAGGAATCAAAGTTCTCTGATGTCAAATGACTGCGTCAGAAGAGCAGGGTTAATTTAGAGGATGAAACTAGAAAGGCAACATTGAGTTTTGTCATTTTTTGCTTTATTTTATTATTTTTTAAACATATTTATTTACTTATTTATGGCTGCATTGGGTCTTCATTGCTGCGCGCAGGCTTTCTCTAGTTGCTGTGATCAGGAGCCACTCGTCATTGTGCTGTGCAGGCCTCTCATTGCGGTGGCTTCTCATGTTGCGGAGCACAGGCTCTAGGCGTGCAGGCTTCAGTCGTGTGGTTCGCGGGCTCAGTAGTTGTGGCTCACGGGCTCTAGAACGCAGGCTCAGTAGTTGTGGCACACAGGCCCGGTGGCTCCGCGGCATGTGGGATCTTCCAGACCAGGGATCGAACCCATGTCCCCTGCATTGGCAGGCAGACTCCTAACCCCTGCGCCACCAGGGAAGTCCCTGTCATTTTTTTTTTTAATGTAAGTTTATTTATTTATTTATTTATTTATGGCTGTGTTGGGTCTTTGTTGCTGGGCAGGCTTTCCCTAGTTGAGGCGAGCAGGGGCCACTCTTCACTGTGGTGTGCGGGCCTCTCATGGCCGTGACCTCTCTTGTTGTGGAGCACGGGCTCTAGGCCTGCGGGCTTCAGCAGCCATGGCACACAGGCTCAGCAGTTGTGGTTCACAGGCTCTAGAGCGCAGGCTCAGTAGTTGTGGCACACAGGCCCGGTGGCTCTGCGGCATGTGGGATCTTCCAGACCAGGGATCGAACCCATGTCCCCTGCATTGGCAGGCAGACTCCTAACCACTGCGCCACCAGGGAAATCCTGTCCCTGTCATTTTAAATGTACTTGGTTGATGCCTATTTAGGCTGATGCTATGATGAAAATTTTTGTGTATATATTAGTTTATGCTGAATTACCAAACAACTCCCAAAATTTCAGCAGCACATCACTCCACATTTCACACATCACAGTTCACACTGGGGAGACTGCACTCCTTCACGTGGTCAATCAGGAACCCAGAGTCTTCCATCCTGGGCCTCCTCCATCCCTAGGACGTCATCCCCATCTGCGTCCATCAGCAGAAGGGGCAAGAACATGGAGAAATGCATGTGGGAGGTGATAATGGGCCAGGTCTGGAAGGACACACATCAGTTCCTCTCCTGCTCCATTGGCAAGGACATGGTCCTATGGCTACAAAGGAGGGTGGAAAATCTTCCAGCTGTGCACCCCAAGGAGGGGAATGGATGTTC